GAAAAGCCTTTAATTATTGTTTTTTCCTTACAGAATATTTTTATAGCTTCCTTTAATATTTTCGTATTATTTTCAAGAGGGAAATTCATTGGACGGAAGATAGATTTTGGCCTTCATTTTTACTTTTTTGCGTTGGTACAACTGAGTGCCTTGTTGCAGTTTATTACATCCAAAAGCTACACAGAAATTACAAAGATGCTCGTGAATGACGTGGAGTAAGGATATGGAAGAATACGTCCGTTATCTGCTTGAAGTTTCTCTCCGGCGGATCGCCTGGATATTTTTATGTCTTGGTTATTAAATGATGCCGCATCAATTTGAGGTTTATGAGATGGATGGACTGTGGATGGTGAATTAGAAACGACTCCAAGGTGCTAATCCTGAAATTCCTCTGGAGATGACTGAGTAAACTCTCGAAAATATTAATCAAGTAGCGCGTATAACTGGATGATCGTCGAGAACAATTGCAGTGCATTACCGCTCCGGTAACCTGCTCTGTCGTGTACGTGTATTTCTTTGTTGAAATTAATGAATGGATTTTGATGAAACCTGGTATTGGAGGTCGATACTGTCAGCACTTGACCGATTTTGGATGGTATCGATACAATACGAGGTCTAACTAAACTTTACAGAGCTCCTAGAAATGTTCTTATGTTAACAAAAATTTTATGGATGTCATAAAATGTAGATGTCTTCAATAACTGTAATTTTTATTTCACAAAAAACTTTTAATAACCTTAAATGTTCAGTAGAACAAACGGGCAACAAAGATTCTGACTCTCTGCATCCTAATTGGACTTTTATCTTGCAAAAATGCACGTCTTGTTAAACGAGGTATGAACCAGCTGAATACCAACGAAGGAATTACGAAACTAAGTGAACTTCTTTCGAGTACTCCTTTGCGGTCAGGACGTGATAATCAGCTCGACAAATCCCTTTCAGTGACAATGCACCCCTCGATCTAGGATTCAGTGGCCATCCCTTCGTGTCCTGGACACATCAAGGAACTTATAAGTTAAAATTTGTAATCCTTATAACCCAGTGTAACTATGTATACTCTACATGTTGATAGATTCTGTATAATTTTTATAATGAAAACGATTATTTCCTTAAATATATTTAAACAGTTTATGTTGATAATTTACAGGGGATGTGCTTTATTTGAAGTGTCCACTAAAGTTATTTAGATAAACTTTGGCATTTAAAAGTTATTATAAAGTGATATCTTAACAACAAAAGCCAGATTTAATGTAAAATTAAATACGAAATTAATGCACAAATAAGTTAACAGCGTTCGTAATAAATCTATAAAACATGCCGAAACTTTCTACTACAAATTTATTTGTCTGTATTTGCATACTCATTAAATAAACCAAAAATATATGCGCTGTCTTTAGTACTCGTGAAAGCGTGGCTTTAAAACATATTTCGTTATAAGAATGTAATACACAGGTGTGTGGGAGATAAAATATCACATTTGAAATTAGAAAGGAGTAATTTTGAGGGGAACGATTTATCACGTGAAAGCGAATATAAAATAAAATAATTTGATAAATCATGGAAATGAGAGAAAACATTGAGCAGTCGGTAGAAAGTTAAATTTTCTCAAGAAGGCGAACAGCTGATCCAGTGCAAACCAACTGGAAGATAAAATAAATGCAAATTTTATGGATTTTGCAGAAAATTTATGAAAATGGAAACAGAAGTAGAGAAAGAATAAGAATAAGAATAAGAGAGGTTGTTCTGTTTGCCCAGCTGCTGGGCATTGTTTCTGAACACACTTTATTATAAGATAGGACACAGAAACTAAGGAGCGTTCCCAGAGGCATGAATACGAAATGAATTATTAACTTCTCGTATGAATATTGTTTTCGTAAGTTTATATCACCCTTTCTGTGCCGAGTATTGTTTAGAAAAATATTTATTGTATACAGCAACCACAACACTTATGTCATATCTAACTTCCATCGATGAATTATCACAAATAATTTCACTTACCGCTAAAAATAAAGCATATTCCTCCTTTCAGAGTTTTAAACGTTGAATTAATGTAAGTTGGAAGTAGCATAGCACAGGTCATATTAAGTATCACAAAGAGGAGGAAATTAAAGACGCTTTGAACATGGCTGTCTTCTGGGCTGATGCACCGTATGACCTGATATCATTAAAGCTATGATCGCTGATTTTGAAGGCAAAAAGCACCTCTGAAACGTCGGTAAACTTAAACCAGTCTATACGGCGCAATCAACCCAGAGACCTCACTACGGTCGAGAAACGTAACATTAGTAAACACGACACCACGTTCTAAGAAACTACTTTCAAATGTAAGGTGATTAAAACTTAATAATATCGTTGAATTTGAAGTGTGGTTGAAGTGGCTACTTGACAGAGAGACTAACAAACGTAACACTTTAAAGCCCAGTGGTAACTATATATACCATACTTTTCAACAAACAGCAATCACTCATTTTGTGATTTATGGTTTCGTATGATTCTCTCTGTAAACAGCGATAATTTTTTAAACAGAATTAACCAGTTCATATTTGTAATGGTAAAGTGTTGTGTTTTCTTCGCGGTACGGACTGAATTATTAAATGTCATTCAGAGGAGCTTTAGCTTCAGAAGTTTGAAGCACAGAATATCAAAGTTCTTAAGCAAACTCTTGTTGAAATGTGAGATGACTGTATAATTAACTGGCTGACTAATTAACTAATTAATAAGTAGGGTTGCTAGTAAATGTCGATTGGTGTTAAGCAAATTGAGAAATCCCTTATTATTATGAAGTCATCGTTATCAAGATCACAAAACGTATACGTAATGCATTCCAGTTCCATGTGGCTGAAAGTCTTAGAGCCTAGTTTTACAGGATTCACAAACCGATATGTGTTACATTTATAGAAGTTTATACACAACCAAACAGTGCAAAAGTTTGAGCTGTAAACCTGAAGGGAAAAAAACTACATAGAGATCTAGATCTAGATGGAAATTAATATTAAAATAAATCACAAAGAATTAAGGTGTGGGGATGCACACCTTTATTAATTTTACTCTGCACAGGGTCTTTTGTAAACACAGTAATGAACATTCAGGTTTCATAAAATGCAGGGAGTTTATTATCAAGCTGAGCGACCAATAGCTTTCCAAGGAATGTAACCCATCGAATTATTTTTTATATACACATTAGAGACGTATTTTTCGATGTTTGAATTGAATCGTCTTGTTCTTCAGGAACTGTCTCTTGGCTTCCAGACGCAGGAAAATGCAAAGGGTCCGCCAGAGTTGGACACGGCCGAACCAGGAGGGGGGCACGAGGACGCTAATGTCTGGGTCATATAACAAGAGACGCTATTTTGAAATTGGCTGACCAACACGAGCGCTCTCCGGCCTGGGTGATATACACCAGCTGAAGGGAGGGAGTGGGGGACAGACGCCCTTTTAATATCCCGCCGTCGACATCGTCACGTGAGTCAGCTGAACCACTTAGCCTAGTACGAACTGTTCTAACAGGTTTGTAGTGGTTTTCCTCAGCCTCGTCTGGTTCGACTGTTTCACAAACATCATTTTTCAATTGAAATTCTCGTGAATAATAACAACAAACTTTGGATTACCTGTCCCTACGAAACAAAATCCTTCTTCAAAAGATAGCGGTCGTTAAATGAGATGTATGGAACACGAGAGTTTATTACTGTAAACGAAATACTGGATTCAGTCCTAAGGCACATCATTGAAGTCTACGCCCTTATATGAGGTTCATTTAATGTATATTTTAATGATATAACTTCATGTCCGCAGAGAAAGACGGTGCCCGAATTTATAACTTGTGTTGGGCAAGGCCGTGGTCTAGGCAACACGGAGTTTTCCTCCGTGGCATCCCAACAATTACTCCATTCACACACAGAAGAAGGCAATGGCAAACCACTTCTGGATCATCTGCCAAGAATGTATATGAACAGGTCCCAGTCCGAGAAAAGGATGGAAGGATCCTGTTCATATGGACCTGTCGTCAGACAGAACACTAAATAAATAAATAAACCTACACATATAAGCATGGTAAAACTGGTTACCAATTATCGAGCGATGTCACTGTTATAAACTACATTCAAAATGTCATCATATCCTTTACCTCTGTCGATGTTAAAGCCAAATGTATAAGATGTTATTACAAATCATTAGAGAGGATTTCAACGTAATTGATCATGTAATTGATTGTGTATTTAGTAAAGATGGCTGCACTAGAGGCTTGAACCAAGGACGAGCGACATAGATGCCCAGACTTGTAGAAATTTACACTGCAGTTTCCTATCCTACCGTCATCAACCATATTTGTGTCGGTTTTATAAATATCCCACACAAATAATTATGAAGCCCGTGGAAGTATTCTCGCTCTACAATGTACGAATTGAATAACACGGTCTATTAGGTCTGTCACGTATTGATTAATGAAAGTAATGACAGATTTTACCAAAACATAGCAGGTGATCGGAAAAAAAAAAAAACACCGTGTTTCGACACACGAGTTTGCTTTTAAGTGACAGTCAAAATTTCTCGCTGTAGATATCGGCTGACTTTAGCGAACACGGAGATGAATCCACGGTTTCCATAAAATGTCTTCATCAGTTGAATAAACAATTATGAACTTCTAAATTGATTGATTATTGATCGTTTGGTCCATTTAATAAGTCTATATAAATTTAATATTTGTATGGTGACTGTGAATTATTTAAGGCTTTGATAAACGAAGTGTCTGGGATTTAATCAAACACGTAATAGAGGAGAGGAGGTCTTTGGAGCCGAGGTCACCTGTTCAACACCCGTTCACGAATGAAAAGTATACCTACTACCATTCTTCGTCAAAAACAAAACTATCTATCGCTCTCTGTGTAGTGAAAGATTCCATGACGCTGTGGCAAAGTTTGGTCCAGGGACAGATGAGTGTGCCAGGATTTTCTGTCTTCTTCCTCGCTACAAACGTAACAACGTTTCAGTCTGTCGGTCGACGTGGTAGAGATTCAACCGGGGCAGACAGTCAGACGAAACCACTTCGACACAAATTAAGAGAGAGAGGGAGGGAGGGGTCTGACCTTGATTCAGATTCGTTAGTATTTTTTTTTTCTTTTCCGGTTCAAGAATACGTTTCCGGTACCCGAAATACAATGCGACTACAAATTTCTCCTCCCCTCGTGTCTGACGCGGTCTCTTGTGCCCGAAACTTGTGTAGTTCAGTCCAAGGAGCGCGGACGAGAGTCAGATGTTCCTGTTATACACTTTCTCCCTATTGATTACAGTGTGCATGTTAATGTTCCCTGTCGCCAGTGACAGACAACCCCTGCGTCTCAGCCAGTCAGTCAGTACGCTCGCCTGCCGGCACCCGGAGTCTCCACACTGCAGACGCAATTTCATCGCCTTCAGCGTGAGGTCCACACCGCAGACCGTGACAGAGGTAAGTAAGTGTTTCTGTGTGGACTATGGCCTGCATGCAATCGTGTTTTCAGTGGCACTGCGCGTGTGTTCGGCTCTTCAAGACGATCTCTGCGCCGGTTATGAACGTCGCCACTCTAGCAGTAGCCAATAGCGTTATAGAATATGATATGGACGTCCTACGTCATAGGAAACACCGATATGAGCGGCACTAGCGGGCAGAATGGCGAACTAAACCAAAGATGATATTTTGTAACGTGGGGGGGGTATGAAGGATGCTGTTATGTAGGGGTGTGTGGCCGTCGATACAGCCCTTTCCCGAGAAGTATAAAGCCCGAGGTATTGATCCGTTTAGTGGGGGGTTACATACAGTCACGAGGGGTTGGAAGGGACGCGGGGAAGACGTGGATATTGAACTTGCTAGGGGATGAGGGAATATTAGAGATTCGTGTTCTTTAGAAACGTTAGCCAATAACAAACAGTTATGATATGATACGGGGGGCTTATGATTGGTGTGTGATGGGGTTGGGGGAAAGAACTATAAATAGGGTAAAGAAAGCTGGACCAATACCAGGCAGGTTATGATATTGATATGACACTGCTCGTTATGATTGGTGCGTATGGTAGATATGTTGTAAGAACGTTTTATATCCAGCACGTACGACTGCATGTGGAGAAATTAGAACCATAGACCGACTTGCTTTACACTTTATTCGAGACACGTTTTTCTGTGAGGCAAAGTAGAAATTGTGGCTGAATAATATAAATTATGTATCCTTACATATTTTAACTTTGCATTGCTAATCTGTATTTACGTATCAAACAGGAATTATGCTCCAATTTAACTCTGCATTTGGGTCGTGCTCAAAATTTGTGCGCGAGAAATTGTTTTTGAGAAATCGACGTTGCAGAGGAACTTATTGTTTCCATCTTCAGGGCTCTCGAATCTCACATAATTTCTGAGACAACAGAATAAAACATGAGTTTCATGTAAAATGTTGTTTATATTTGATCAATACAAAATTAAATTCTATCTGAAATTCTTGGTGTACCGTTAACAGATTTAATCGGCTTCTGTAATGACATGGAAAGATATGAAGGTTTCTGCGCTGTTCTAGACTGTTCCAGACTATTATTTATAGAAGGCAGACTTGGTGTATACGGTGTCTTAGATCTAAATCCATTTAAACCTTACAACACTGGCTCCTGTTTACGTAAGATTCTCATAAAAATAAATAATTTCATTGCTGTAACATGTTTTAGGAAAACCCCAAGCGGAGAATGAACAGTTTTGCTACGCTAAGACTTCTTAAAATAGACGAATGTGGCATACTCGTCATTTTAAACAGCCACATGTGTGCCTTGCATCGTGGAACGAAACCGAATCTAATGACTTTAGTGTTTGCGACTCCAAATCATTTTATCATGATCAGATTGATTAGATTTACGTGCTGTAACCTTTGGTTTCCTGCAGAAGTTAGTTAGACGACGATGGATCAAGGCAACAGACTACTGGTCGGTCACTAATCAAGCCTCTTGAGGTAATGAATCTACATTTTTCTTATTGCCAGATAGATTACGGAGTGAGTCAGCGAAGCCACTTCACAGCGCGTCTATGTATGCATGTATGTATGTACGCTATGACGCTAAATTCAGAACAGGGCAACCCTGTTACATGTGAAAGGCGGGCTGTGTCTCTCCCCCCCCCCCATTGTATGTCTGTCTGTCTCCTGATATCTGCCTCTCCTATTTATCACTGTCTGACTTTCTGTTTCGCAATCAGCAATCTTTCTCTGCCTGACTCCTGTCAATTCACATATACCTCAACTGTTTTATTTCATTATATTATTTTATTTCGTGGTGTTTACAGTTAAAATTAATTATTACAAAGGGAACGATATATAACTATACTGCAGCTGAATTTAATCTGAATAGGCCCATTGCTTAGACCCATTCGTAACATGTTGTGTCTCAAATGTAGCGAAGTACAAAGCCAAATTAATGCGTTTCTGTATTTGTCAGTGATTTTATAATTGTATGTCTGCACGCGATTAATATTAAAGCTAATTTCTTTCGTAAATTTCAAATGAAGGTTGGTACGTGTAAAGGAATAAAAGTAATTTGTTTGTGTCTTAAATTAACAAACTTTAAAAGCGTAGGTTAAAATATATGCAGTAAGAAACGTCTCAGCTATCATAATTCCTATATATTTTACTGCAGCGGAATATAACTTTACATTTATATACTTGTTCCCAGTTTATTAAAAAAATTAAAATCTGAAATGTAATACTTCGTTGGTGAACAGTCTGTGAAACCAACGTCACGAAATTATATCGTGACCAGTGAATTCAGCGTTCAAAACCCAATGAGTAAAATTAGGTTCTGTAAGAATCGGTAGATTTAATGTCCGTGATGCTCCCCCTGGCGTAGGGTTTGTTCGTTATATATGGCTTCCACGTAGATCACATCATTTTACGAAAGTTTTCGCCTTATAAGGACCCATCACGAAACTAAGATTTATAGGAAAACTTGTGTGAGGTATTTTAATAGGGGCCCATGGTCTGACGCGTGCTGGCTATAAAGTACTGAGTTGGAATCCAACTCCACCCCACCACCTAATTCCGAAACCTGCTATAAATTTAAGGTTAGACAGGTTTTTAAAGTCGATATTATCAAAATCACTTCTTTCGGTTGGGACCCAATTCACGTACCGGTTTCTGGTTCAGTCCTTGTATCAGCACTCGACAGAAAGTAACTTAGAAAATACATTTTAGAACGGAGGTTTTTAACCTGTAGGGCGGAGACCCACGTGGCTACGATGATGCTCTGTTGTAACACCGGACGAGCTCCATCAGATTAATTGACGATCTGGTATCTGAAATTCTCATCAGGGCGCTGAGTAAAATTTCACTGAGATTTACTTGAAGGCCGCAAAGAATCCCGCTTTTCACTTCTGGAGGATCCAGTAAGCAAGTCACTTTGAATGCCTTAGGAACTTTCTGGTAACGACAAATGACTTAGTGTTAGGCCAGAGTGTTTCGGAAGCAAGTTCTGCTTTTTTCTTCAGGTAATCGATAGGAGGACGAAAACCTGGACCGCGTGGTACAACCTGGATCAGGGCTAAAAGTATGTCGACCACGGACTGTGCGTGGGAGTAGGGATTTTCCCATTTGAAGATGTCGGTGTTACAGACCTCCAAAAAGAGTTTTAATTGAAATTATAAACACGCAGACGACGGACAAATTCCAAAATTGTAACTTCTATTCTAAAATCAACGATAGATCGCATTGCATTGTCGTCAGACGTCATTAAATTTCGCTTAAGAAACTTTCGAATCCCTTGCGCGTAACTTGAGCTCTCTATATTAGATCGTCTCCGTCTAAATCTTTCATTACTTGAACTCATTGAAAGGTAACTGTATTAAATTTTCTGTAGCTGAAATCGCGAAGATCGAACTTCAGATCTGACGCGCGCCTGCAACCATCATGACACCGAATACGCCTGACCGCTGTCTGCCCGCCACACACGGTCGCTCACCGAGAGACAGCATGCTTGCTGCAAAATGTCGTCTTGTTGTTAGCTGAGAGGACGAAATTCATTATCAGGAGATTGTGGGTACTACCTCGCTCATCTGGTGCACTGTAGTGTTCACAAGAGACAGCCACTGGACCTTACTCTTACCCTGTTTCTCTAAGATCCATTCAATATCACCACAGTGCCTAACTAGATCTTACAGAGTGATATCTTCCTTTCATGTATTCCTTTAAAATTCTTTTATATCTTTACAATGTCCTCCGCGAGAATTACATATCCAGTCCTTAACATCCTCATTGGTTTGAAAATCCAAGTAGTACGAATTTAAAAGCTCCTATTTTAAGCGATTTCCACAGCCACTAATTACTTCTTAAGCCATAGTTGTTAATAATCTCCACAAGACCTGTTCTCTACTAATGTCGTTATATGTTTATTTGGACGACAAACTAAGTTTAAATCATATAAAAATATTGGGAAATATTATAATTTACTTATAATTCAATCTTCACATTTTGGACAGGATACAGAATAATTATTTTATTTTAGTCGTGGACTGAAGCTGAAATATTGGTACCAACGGATTGAAGTAATGAACTACACAAATGTGCACTTATCACCAGTCCCCGATCAATCAATCTCTTCTCTTGTTTATCTTCGTTCACTCGGTCTCTCTACCACTGTGGCCTTGCGATATTTATCAACATCCATTCCTTCTACACGCTGTCTCCATTAGTATCACTCTTATAATCTTTCAATTTTCAGCAGGTCAGTGCCACGCTCTGTCAAACAGGTTTTGTGTACTCGTAATGAGTTACTTTCAACATGAATCGTCAGCTTTGTTTTGGCTAGTTACATGTGCTGGCTTCCTACACAGCGTTTAAGCTACTTTAACGTTTGTAGCGTTCTGTGTCTTTCAAATTATCATTCGGGGTATCACGAGCCCAGGTGTGTGTCTCTTTGCCTATCATGAATATTGAAATCCAGAATTTTGTATGAAAGCTCCTGCTAGGCAGAATTCTTATTTCCGACCCTAATAATACTATGACGGTCAGGATAATGATAACAGTCATCGGGGGGGGAACTGCACCTTTGCCCGGGGTCCTAACCGGCGGAGGTTTAAAATCATGTTCAGAGGAGACGAAGTCACGTGGGAAAACAGGCGTTGTGTTCGCCTGGTTTTCAACCCGGGACTTAATGTAATCCATGGTCGCCGCCTACAATTGCTATTTAGACAAAAAAATATTTTTTAAAACATATAATAGCTTACTACAATTCATGTCACAAGAAATTTAAAAAAAAAAATAATATTACGAATTTTAGAATGAAATTTTCTACGATTTATTCAGTTTGAAGGTGGAGATGAGAGTAAGAACAATTTTTTTGTCAGAAAAAGTACTTCTTCGAATCTGCACCATTTTAATTCTGTAATTTTCGAAGTAATAAATATGTAGAGTAATTTACAAAACACAACGAAGTGTTAACTTGATG